CTGCCGGGGCGCGGCGGTGTGGGGAGCCTGTGGAAACCCGGGGAGAGTTTAATACACGCGTTATTTTTTCATATTCAGAGTACACGTAAGGAGAAAGACGAGCACCCGGAAATTCGTTTGCTGACGCAGGAAAAAATGTAACATGAAACGTTACATTTGAGGCGATCTTTAGATGCAGTTTAGAAACACACTATTGAGAGAGACCTTTCTTGAGAGGATTATCGTTACAGTTTTTTGCATAAAATGAATTGCCATTCTTGAATTTTTTACATGTTTGTGGCTGAAGATGGACTGTCTGAAAAAGGTATTATATTTCGTAAGTTTAAATTTTTTCCTCTGATTTTTCCCCCTTCATCTGAGAACTGTAATTCCTGTTCAGTTTCAGGGACACACTGGGTAGAAGACATGAACAACTTTTCCTCCTTTTCCTTTTTTTCCCCAATAATCACCTCTTTCTTTGTTTTCTACTGTGGCTTTGGCATTTTTTGGTGGAAGGAGTGATTGAAGAGAGAGGGGCCTTTTATATGGATTTGGACACCCAGAGGTTTTTTTTGTCAGTTGTATTATCAGAAGTTGTGAAAAATGCCTTCACAGCCCCCAGCACTGTCCAGCCTCCTAGTTTAGCAGCTCCACGCACCCTGGCAGCGCTCTGCCACCGGCCCCCATGGGCCAGCGCTGCCGTGTCCCCCCGCAGGGAGGATGGGGGGATGCCCAGGCTGGGCCCAGCAGCCTGCCCACTCGCAGCCCGCTGAGCTCCCCAGTACAAGGGGTATCATGGGCCTGTACATCACCAGAGGCTGGGGATATGAGCAGCATCGATCATACATCTCCTTTCTACTTTTTGGGTCAGGTCCAAAGCTTGGAACCCAACACAGGTATTTCTAAAACCCCTCTTCCTTAAATGTCTCAAACTGCAGAGAGGAAAATAAATCCGGTTTACGACCTGATGCTTCTTCCTCTATGGATGTGTTTTTTACTGTGCTTCTCTAATGTTGCGCTGAAGTTTGTTTCATAAATACCTACCTATAAAACCCCCACAGAAACCTTGGGGTATGTTTACATCATTTCTCTATTATTTGATTCCTTAAATATGAAATAAACTGAATCAACATTTTAGGTTTTCCTTCCTGTGCTTAAAAAAAAAAAAAAAGAAATATGACAGTTTATGGCTTTTCTCCTCTGGATGGCAGTAACTCCTGCTTAAACATTCATGACCCGTGACTGCAATATCCCGCAGCAAGGGATTTCCTTTTCTTTGTCAGTGTGCTATCCAAAAGAAACATTTAATTTCATTCATTCTGTGTTTTTTCAAATCTAAATTTGAAAGCTAAGTAAGATTTCAAATAAGGAATCTGTTTAATGTAAAAAATGTAATTACATGAGTTCTATGTATAAAAACAGAACAGGAGTCAGGAGAAAGGAATCGATGCTGGATATTTGTTTCTGATTACATGTTTCATAAAAATTAACTAATGTTGCTGTGAAAAACAAATTCCTTGAAATTAAACTGGATATTTGTTTCTGATTACATGTTTCATAAAAATTAACTAATGTTGCTGTGAAAAACAAATTCCTTGAAATTAAACAATGAAGTAATAAAAAAGATACAGAAATGTTGTGACCTGAACATCTGCCCCTTTAAAATGTTCTCATTGTAACAGTGCACATCTGGGTTCTTGAGTGTTCATTACAACATGAAATTTTAAAACATAAAATACATCTAGTAAAGATGATTTCCAAATAGTCACCGTGCACACTTGAAAGTTAGTTTAAACAAGAGGCGTGAGACGGAATTAAGACCTTCTTCCTCCACATCTGACCAAATAACATTTTTTTCAGTAACAAAGCTACATTTACAGGTAGGACTCAGGTCTTCTCACCAGCCATGATTAGCTGTATTGCCTTGTTTTACTGCTGGTGAAAATGATGGAGTTCAGAGCAACAATTTCCAAAGATGAGTGCCTATATTTATACAACTGAATTTGCATTTTGAGGGTGATCCAAGTCCCATGATACCTTCCCACTGACTCTGGCCAGCTGAGGCCTGTCCTTCAGATGGAGAGCAGCCTGCCTGATTTCTGGGGTGCTGCGAAGGCAGTGCTCCCCAGCTCCCTGCTCAGCAACAACAAACAGTACCTCTGTTTCCTAATATATATTACTCTATCAGGGAGAAAGTAACTGATTTTATGTGTGCATTCAGTTCTTGGTCTATGGGCTGAGATGGTCAGTGGGGATCTAAGTGTGATTTTTGAGAAGTGGGTGTTTTTCTACCAATAGCTTAATGTTACCAACTCCATTGAAGACCTTATCTGTTTTCAAATTAAGAAAAAACTTGGCTCCTAGAACTGAGAAAAACATTTCTGCCCACATCTTTTTCAGTGGAAAAAACAAATTTGGCAAATTTGGCAGGTTTACATTAATTTATCCAGAATCAAGACACTATTTACATTTTCCCTCCAAATTGCTACTGCTCAGAAAAGTCACTTACTTAATACTGCTCTATTCCTACCACTGTTGTCCTGATCTTCAATAACACAGTAAGGTTCTGCCCATTTATCTATCCTTCCTACATCTGAATGAGGGAAGCAAAACAGTTTTGTGGTAAACAAGCCAATCTCATAAAAGGTCCTACCTAAGCACTGGAAGTCCTCTGTGGTGATAGAAACATCATCCCAGCACTGGAAGCGATGTGTGTCAGGAAGGCATGGTATCTCCTGAGTTTCTTTAACAGACAAGGGAGAAAACTCTGTTACTGTCCTCCTGGAAAAAAGAACAGCACCTACTTGCTGACATGAATCCAGCTCCACAATGCAGAGGGAAACAGAATCATTGGCATACCATCTTGACCTCCCCTGCCTTATTGTCCAGGTAATTTTCTTGAGGAGTGTAGCAGAGGTGCTAAAGAATCTTCCAAGACTGAAGATACCAGTGAGAGAGAAACTGCAAATTACTCCAAGCTATTGCCATGGCCTCTTTCTTTTGGAATGTCAGGAAACATGAAAAATAATAATGTGGGTGCAGCTAAGAAGGTAATATTACAACTTGCCACAAAGCTGAGCTTTCAGCCTTTCAGAAGACAAATAAAAGTAGATAAATCATTTGTAATATTGGTTTTACTGCAGGTCCATACCTTTGAGATTCCCTGATTTACTGCAAAATTTTCTCTGAAGACTTCATTAAGTTCTGGCCCTGGTGCCTGTCAGCAGAAGACAAAGCACTTGAGAAGCCATCCCTAAAGGTTCCCTCTTAGCACATTTGTGAAGCCTGGTTGCTGCTCATACTGACTTCTGAGCTCATGGGAAAAAAAACCCCAAACAACCAAAGGAGGGGGAAAAAAACCCCCAAAGAAGTAGAGAAAAAAATATGCGACTGGTGAAGAAGTACTTTTCACTATTAAACATAGCATTCTTTCCCCATTTCAGTGTGTGAATTTGCCTCTGTTCACCATGGTATCAGGTAAAAGAAGGACTGACATAGTAAAAGAACCTAAATGGATTAGATTTATTTTTACTGGATAATTTTCTAAGTATGAGCTTTGTTGAGGATGTGATAGGAAGGTTTCTGCCATATAACACTGGGGTACCAAATACCTCAGCTCTCTCTAGCTGCCCTGTGAGCAATCTGAATAGCATTTTGCATGGTCTCTTTTTGAAAAAGATGTAATTCATAAACCTCCCATTTCTCCTAGTTCCAGACAATGTCTGTACCCATTTCCTAGGTGGTGATATGTACACATGGCATAGTAGAAATACAGACAGAACACATGCAGTGATGCATATGTTTAAAAATCTCTGTTCTTCATCTCCCTGATATACTAGCATGGAGGCTGATGGAAAACAAAGATGCTTTCCTCTGTGGTACAGGGTGCCACTGTGACAGCTGAGGTCAGAAGGCGGCATGCAGAACATTGCAGGCTGAGGTCCAAAATAGAGAGATTTCAAGTTTATTGTGAGGACAGAAGAACACTGTGCAATTGAATTTCTAGCTGCTGGCAGTATAACTATACCCAGTTAGTCAGAAGGTTAGGTTATAGCTAGGAGCTAAGTTTGAAAGGAGATTTCAGACAGATTAAAAATTCCTGTTCATTACAAGCTCCTAAATTATGTGAAACACTCTGTAAGATTGGTTTCTTTCTGAATCCTAAAGCACTTTTTAAATCATGAACAGAGGATATGGCCATTTTGATTTCTAATTTAGAAACAGACGTATGGGATTTCTGCTATCATTCCTAATGTCCGAAGTTACAGAACTGCCAATAGTTTGTCCAGAAAACCACTCACTCCGGACTTATTTTTAAAATGAAAAAATCTGTTGGCAACAGCAGCTCTGTCTCCCAGACTAGAGATGGTTTGCAACCCTAGGAGCTCAAATGTAACTGCAAGATGACCTGCACTGTGTGCAAGAAATGTGAAGTTCCTCTGAGATGCCTCCTTCTGCTTCCCCAAACTCATTAGCAAGAGCAGCCTTACAGGGCCTTACAACAAGGCATACATTTTCTTGCTTTCTCATGCAAATGTACTGGTAGGAGTGGAACTTACAGCACAGCCCTTTTGAAATGGCAGAATTGCCCTTTTGGCACTGAGATAACAGTAGGTTGCCTTCTAGAACATTCTTTCTGCTAGCTGCTGCATGCAGTATTCTGCAAAGTTATACGAATGAACAGTACAAATAAAGTACTTACTGATACTTTCAGGTTTGTTTCACCTGAGCAAGGTCTTGTTGGCTTGTCTTTCTGTGTAGCATCAACTGCTGATTCTACCTGCAAGAAATTAAAGGAAAAAAGTTTATCTGCGTGGGATATACACTTGTTTTTAAAGAGCTGTTGTATAAAAAACCCCTATGCTTTCTGGATTGCTGGAGTTGCCTGAGGCAGACTTGTCATTGTTGATAATACATTAAGCACAATGCATCAGCGTGCCACAGAAAAAGATTTCCCAGGATCAACTATGCCCTTTGTACAGCAGTAAGCAAGAATGACTAAGACATAAAAGGGCATACTGTGGTGAAGCATTTTTGTGGGTGAGGACTGCAAGGCCAGAGAAGACATGTATAAAACTAACACCTTCTGTAAGCTGTGAAGAAGTTTGTAAGAAAAGAAGTATAAAGGGGAAATCGATCAAAGGCAAGTACAGAGAACAGGCACACATCCAAAAAAAATCACCTGTGCAACAGGGCTGGCTGCTGGGAAAAAACTGAGCAATCCAGAAAAACAATCCTTTTTTCATGGGATGGCACAATTTTCTGCAGAGCTGAGGTTAGTATGACATCCTGCCATGGGCTCCTTCCTGCTGACTTTGCTGAATCTGAAGAATTTATTGCAGAATGATCTGAGCAATATCTTGAATCTTGAAACCCAGTTTCATACAATTAAACCACAGCAGTTCAATGGTTGGGATCTGTAAGTGAAAAGAAAGGACAGAGTCAGTTTGCAGGAAGCATATGTCCTGTGATAGATGTCCAAGTTATATTTAAACTGATTTATAAACTGGTTTCTTTGTAAATCAGCAGTATACAATACCTCCCTCTGCTGCTAGCCTCCTCAGTTCTACTGTGTTTGATTTCCTCTGCTCTGTCCCCTGCTGCACCCTATGGACCTTGCTAATGTTGCAAATGATCTTCAAAGCTACAAAATTGTCCTTGATATAATCAAGTTGTAGTGATGCTTTTGATGAAACTATTTGTAAGCCCAAATATTCCACTGTTCTTGCTTGTTACAGCCAACTTTTCACAGTGAAAAGAGACGGATGTATTTGATAGAACAAAAAAGCCCATGAAAATTAAAATCGGGCCTTTTTATACTCTCTTTTGCTTCAAGGGACACAGAAAAACTGGAAAAGCATTGAGATGATAATGGACTTTTACATTGCCTATAATTATTCTGTTAGCAGCACACTGGCTGTTCAGTAAACAAAAGACATGAGAATACAGACGCTTGCATGGGCAAATATGCTGAGATTCTTTGAATTTGTAAAGTTTGCACTAGTAGTTACCAAAATCTATTTAACTCATTCCTGGTGATTCTAGAAGCCTGGCCAGAATGCCTTTTTATAACTTGTTCCAGGAAGCAGAGCTTCAGGCATTCGGGGATAATCAGCACATCCTCTCCTCCTTTTTATATCCTTGACACCTTTACAAAATGACTTATCCCGGTATCCTTCTAATCAAATTTTAAAGGCATGTGATTGCTCAGATCTTCAGTAAAGCTATGTCCCTGCAATGATCCCTCCTCCTCAGATGGCTGTACGTAACAGAGTGTATTGAATTGCACCCAGATGGCCAAGGTATCGTGAAGCCATTTCAAAGGCCAAAAACCGCCAAGGTTCTTGGCTAAGGGGAGTGACACCCCTTTGCTTCAGTAACCACTCAGTTTAAGGGTGTAGGGGCTGCTACGGCAATCCAATGTCACCCATCAAATCCCATCTGAGAGCTAAAGAGCTAATCTGCATTTTACAAAGCAGCTGCCGAAAGGACCAATGATGCTAAAGCACAGATCAGCAAGCCATTAGTGTATCTAGCACACACTTTTCTTAGATTTTCTTCAAGGTTAAAGGTTTTCTTCTGGTCATCTTTCTTGGCAATATAGAGGAAAGCATGTAAACTTTGCATAAGTTAAAGAAATACACCCTTTTGATTGATGGAAGTTGTTTGCTGGATAAGGAATTGAAGCAAATTATATGATTTGCTTAATAAGAATTACCAAAGGAGTTTTTATAAAAACTTTGATTTCCTTTCCTTAAATAGTGCTAATCAAAAGTAACTGGTGGCTTAAAAAAAAAAAAAAAAGCCCTGGGTGTGGTCCCTTCCAATCCTTGGATCAGTCATTCCATTTGGGAAGAGACGATTGCAATTCAACATTATGCCCAAAACTTTACCCCACGTCACTTCTGATGGCCTGTTTTCCTCCGTTGTTGCCCTCAGAATCTGGATGACATGGATCATTGCAGATATCACCTGAAAAGCCTTCAAAAGAGTACACGTCTGCACATGGAAAACAAAGCAGCTCAAAGTATTCTGACTTGCTCACAATGCCAGAACAGATACAGGGGGAAAAATCTCTGACCTGGCATTTCCTTTGCTGCATCTGTTTGTCACTGTGTGATGGACATGAATAGCAGGAGTGTTGATTTCAAGCTTTAAAACTTAGCTCTGCAGAGGCTGCTTCCAACAGGTGAATGAAATGAAGAAAGAATGGGGCTTTTTTGATATTGATAAATCCAGCCGAATTGTGAGCATGCTTGAAAGTGTGCAAGGCTCTGATAAGAGTTTTATCAAGCATGTATTACATCAACTGGCTGCTACACAGGCCCTCTAATCAGGTGGTTTTCCTAGCAACAGTACCCAGACAATTAGTTCACATCTATTAAGGAAGCACTTCAGTGTCAGTGGAGATGCTGTTACAGTAATTCATGCTTGAGACCAGGTGTAAAGAAGGACAACCAGGCCCTAGGTTTAAATATGCTCAGATGCCGGGAGAACTGAGGATCTTTTAAAAATCGTGTTCAGTGCAAACTTTGGTTTGGCACATCTGAGAGTCCCTCCATCTTAATGAGAAATAATATGTATTTAATAAGTTTGCTGGGGAGTCAACAGAATTAACTGTTAATAATTAAACACCAACCTATGAGAACTGTCCTTTCCAGATGTACTTTTAATACTACAAGTAATTAAGTTTTAACAAGGTTTTTTTAGCTCTATAAGGACCTTGTATGAAAGCTTTAGTGGGAATGCAGAGGACAGAACTCAGGACTAGAAAAGAGAAAAAGCCCCATGAATATAGTTTCATTTATTACAATGATACTGAGTTTGCAATTTCTTGGATTAAACTGGGACAGACTTTGAAAGACATCAAAGATCTGAGAATACCGAGAGACTTCAAGCATTCAGTTTTTCATCACTGGCAATATTAAAATCCCTGGATAAGATTATTCTTTGTCTTGTACCCATATAAATAAGGACTAATTCCACTTAGGAAATGCAATAGCTTGATTTAAAGGGAATTATTTCTGACCACTGAAAGAGGTAAGAGAATATGTCTCGCATTGAAAATAAAAGCCAGGCTGCCCACAGAGCAGTAACATACACTGCAATCCATATCTGTGCACCTCCCCTGAAAGAAATCTGATGTTTTTTCCTGAAGCTGTTCTGGGAAAATCGTATCTTTGTCCATTATAAATTCACATATATTTTTATAAGCAAAGCAAGGGTCCCATTGGCACCATTACAAATAATCCTTTAAAGATTTCCAAAGATCTCTTGCTTAACTTCAACAGGGAGTTAACTAAACACTCTACAGAAGTTTTATTTTTCCTCACAAGCAACAATAGATCCCTGTAAATGTAAAGTAAGTAATATACAATCAAATATGCTGGCATAAAAGTAGTCATGCTCTCACTCCTATAAAAAGTAAATAAATGGTGCCAATAAAGACATGCCAACGTATAAGAATAAACCTTTTGTTTTAAAGCATATATAACCAAATAACATTTTATAAGCTTTTAAAATTCATTAAGACTCAGGCCTTGGCTCTTTGGAAGTCTTTCTCTGTGACTGGATCACCAGAGGACTGTTCGGGGTGAATTCTGCATTTTCATGTATAGAGGCCACAAAATAATGAAAAAGCTCAGTTTACTTGAAACTGGGTCCTATTCTTATTAAGCTGTGATAGAAAGAGAGTAGAAATAAATTTGTCCTACTCTGTCCTCTCCTTCCAACCCTATCGACTGTAGCTAGCATGAGGGAAGACTTGTTTTTCCACCTACATCCTCTGCTTCCTTTTTGCTGTCTTGGGCTCATGCCAGGAGGTAGGGGACTTTCACAGGTCTCCTGAATTACTGTACCCTGAGTTGTTATGGACTTAGAGAATGTAATGGCTGATGTGTTTGCACTTATCTGCTAAACAAATGAGTATTTTTCACCTAAAAAGTGTTAAAAACATTTCATTGAACTAGGAAGCTGTCATATGAAATTTATACGATGGCTGTTACAGTGGAAGTGTCACAGGAATTAACATATAGGAACATCTTGGTAGCCCATCCAAAGTGATATTCTCTCTCTCAATGCAGTCAGCCACAAACATTTCAAAAAGGAGGCAGGCAGTACTCAGGATATGGGCTAAAAATTAGCAAAAAATTTTGGGTCCATATACAAGCTTTCCCAGAGAGCACTGGAGTCCAGATTTTCACTACCATCCTCTTTGTGTCCTGATGCTAAGCATGCACAGGGAATACCTCCTCCTTGCTTACACACTCATGCATAAAAATTTTCTATACTTTACAGTAAGCATACTTTGCAAGGTAACTAAGGGCTTGCAGATGCCTCCTTTACAGTACAGTGAACTGGCATGTGATTCACCCCAGTTGTTCCAAGTCACAGAAATGTTGAAACTGCAATACTGCTTACAGCTGGGCTTGTTCTAGGAGATAACTGACTACCTTACAGAACAAATCCTGCTCTTTTTCTGGAGAGACTTTTTCAAACTGGCAAAAGTGTCTGGGACAACATATGCGTGAGAAAAGACACCAGTGTCATCACTTGCAAATGAGGATACAGGACAGAAAGGTGCTTCTGCACCTTAAATTTAACTGAACAAAATGCAAGTTTGAGCTGTCTGTCTTACAGTTATACTCTGTAATATGATACGTTCTTCCAAGGTGCCTGTTTATACCAAGTACAGGATTTAATTCTGGACCGGACTTCTACTTCCCAAGTAATACAAATGACTTACATCAGTCAAAGTGTCAGAAGAAGTGTGTATACCATGTAATACCTAAATGAATTTGCCAAATCATCTGGAGGATAATTATTAATAGGAAAAGGTGGATGCATTGCCTTTCGTAGAGAATTCATTAATTTACAAGTTAAGCAGCAGTTGTTTCAGAAAATCAAACAAACCCCATGGCTAATTCCTCCAGGTTTTGGCCATCTGCATCACTCTGAAATATTCACATAAAAATAACATATTTGAAAAGTTGTGTGTGTAGTTTTTGGGGTTTTTTTTTGTTTGTTTGTTTGGGGTTTTTTAACAGAAACATTTAATTCTCATTCACAGTTCGCTGTGAACAAAAACTTCAACACTTCTAAGAAATTATAAAAGAAAGTGGTAAGCACATAAGGTTCTTGCTACATCTGTTAGGGAGTAGAAGAAAAAAAATCATAGAACCCTAGAAAGCTGGAGAGGGGAATAGGAAAATTGTAGGAAAGGGCTGTATCCCAGGAACAGGTATATCACCATGAGGCACAGGCACTTATTCTGATAAAGCTCAGAGTGCCTTATAATGACATAAGTAAAGCATGGGCCATACCTTCCTAGTAAAAAAAAATTCAGAAAATTTCACTGAATGTTTTCCTTCTCGAAGACTTTTTACAGGTTCTCTAGGCAAAGAGATTGATCTAAGCTACTATATCTCACTAGGACTAACAGAGAGCATAGTATGTTGTTTAGCTTGCAGTGCATTAACAGCAGCTGGCATCCAACTGATACGAGACAACTCATATTTCTCTAGATGATAGAACCCTGTGGCTCAATTGTGAGATTCCAGATTAAAAGATTTACAAAGCACATAATCATTATAATAACTCTCTTACCTAGATTCCAAGGCTTCCTCCATGGCTTCAGTGATAATATTTCTGTCTCTGGTATTAATTACTAGTATGTTCACTGGTTGGAGCTGTAAAAATTTTTTGTTGCCCTGTTTAGCAAAGGCAGATCTTAGATATTTTAGAAAACAGTAATATATTGTTGCTTGGTAAGGGATATGTTGATGTATTAATCTAAGTTTTGTAGCATGGCTATGTATAATAGTCTCTTATTTTGACACATGGAGCTGTAAAAAGTGTGACTCAAGCTCTGGAGCATTTATTTTCTGCTTGGGTATTCTTTGCAGAGCTAAAATCTGATAACATACCATACTGTTACATACTAATCCACGTTGTGAGATTTTCTGAAATAATCTAGCCCACTTGCTTTTGATCTTTTTCAATTTGCAAGCCTCTAAATGTGATGAACCCTCTCTGCACTCTGAATTAAAGCAATAGCCTTGCTTTCCTTTGTTACTTTTCAGGGATTGCTCGGACATGGTCCCTTTGCAGTGGTTGCAGGCTAAAAGTTGAAAACCACATGTAATTTTATGGCTGAAGTCACAACTAGAGTAACTTGGCATAATTCCACTGATTTCAAAGGAAAAATCCTTTGATAATATCAGTTAGAATAATGGCTGGTTTATTGTACATTAGCTGAGGAACTTCCTCTGTCTTTAGTCTTCCTCTATAGTTTTCACTGTTTAAGACTGAGCTCCATTTCAATGTAATTATATCTCCTTTGGAAAATATTCCTTACTTAATACCCAAACTAGAACACATCAAGGAGCCCAAGAGGAATCTTAAAAATTTTTTACATAGGAAAACTCATCAGAAAATTCTTAAAATTGTATTTTATGCTTGGTCTCAGATGTGTCCTCGATGTCTAATTTTTAAGATGGCTCTTCAGTGAGATAGTACCTTTTATCTCAGTGGTGCAGGGTAGCATATACACAACTCTAATATAAGGTAAACAGTTAATGATATAAATTTTGCTTGGCTTCTCCAATCAAGTAGTTCTACTGTTAAAGTCTTGAGCAAGGTATCAGTGTCTCTGCATAGAGTTACACTGATTTACACTAGATGATCTATACCCAATTATTTTAAGATGCTTGAGGTTCTTCATGAGTGCAAAGGAAATAATTTTGCTGTTCTGAAAAAGAAGAGCTCAAATAGGAAGGTAGATATTAAGGAAAGTAACAATTAGGTCTGAAATGTTAATAACTGGATATCTTTTCTGAAGATACTTAAAAGTACTTACATTTAAAAGACATGAAAATCTCTGAAAAATTAGAGAAAAATGGAAAATTGTCTTTTATGCTGTTACTGCCTAGCTCACTTTGCAGCTCCATCACATGACAACGAATAACTAAAGAAAACTATTATTATGCAAACCACTCCAGCACAAAAGGGTATTACATATCTTGTACAAAAGGGGATTTCTTTAAAAGGCACAGCACATTCAGTGTTTAGGGTTTGCAGTTAAAATTCATGGCCTTGCTTGCCAATATTATCATGCAGCTGGTATTATGCTATTGCTTTACTCTGAGGGGAAAAAAAAATCACAATAAAGATATTCCAATGGGTTTGTATTAATCTGTTGAGTTCTCTTATGTTGCAATATCAGATTTAATGATTTTTGGCATCTCTTCTCTAGCACAAAGGTCACAATAAACACTAGCCAATTGCAAACAGAAAATTTCAAAACTGCACATCCTTTGATTTAAAAAATTATCACTGGAAAATAGTGTTAGGCATTTTTTCAGTGTTGAAAATGGAGACATTTGATAGGATTGATAAAAATATTTTTCTCTTATTGAACAGCTACGAGACAGAAGTCCATCTTTCTGTAGGGCAGGCTTCCAACAGAATCTCTTCTACTGGTCCTGTAAAGCAAGGGTTTATTATTTTAATTTGAATTTGAATTCATTTTTTTTATATTTCCAGAATTTATCTCCTGTTTAAATAAAAGCAAAATCAGCTGACCCAAAACATTCCTCATGAGTAAAAGATTAAATGCATTCTCAGAAATCTTAAGCTCTTCTTGGCATGACTATTCAAACACTAATTTGGATGACTAAATTACATCAGTCTTTACAGGGTTAGGTGCTTCCAGTTTCTTCTGTATGCAGCCTTAGTTGTATGACTATTGGGAACCATTTTACTAGAGCATCAGTGATTTTTCTGAAATTCTTTTAAAGGAATGTTTTGCAGAAAACCATAGTAAGTCACAGAGTACATGTCAAACAGTTTTAGAGGAACAGCTTATACTTTTTTAAATTTGCATATGTCACATTTCTTTCTCTGGCTCTTAGATACATACATCTCTGGGTATCTTCAACCATGTTTTTCAAGTCATTATTTCTGGGTTTTTTTTCTGTTTGTCCCTGCGTTACCTGAGCATTGCGATCATAGAGGGCTGACAGATATGTACTCTGTGGTGTTGTTATGTCCTGAAAAACAAAAGAATAGCACAAAATTAACATTTTTGTAGACAGGGGGGGAAAAGCTATGAAATGGTTCCTTGGAATGAACTGGTACAGAGGTCAGTCTCAGAAACTGAACACACTATGGCATCCGAACACTAAAGTCACACTAGCCCGGGGTGTACAATATTGAGTTAGCAATAGAAAAGAGAGCTTTGGAAAGTTGTATAGCAATGCACATAGAATTTGAACATACCTTCATTCCTTTACATTACTTGAAAGTACAAGAGATGCCACAATTTACTGTCCCAGTCTCACTTGCTTATATACAACTGTTCTTTGTCCTACTTGTTCATTTAACTATAAAGAAACAAATCCTTGCCTCCTTATTCCAAATTTTTAATTACTATGTCTTGCCAAGTATCAGGTATGTTAGGAAAAGTAGTGGTGAAAGAAACCTAATCTCAATTGATGTACTTAAATATATACCAGGATTGGTGTTGAGACAGATGTTAGCATTTGATTATCATTTTGGCCCTAACTTGTATATATATATAATCAGTTATTTAAATTTACTACACATGATTAAGCATTCTGATTTTCTTTCTTTTACCATTTTCTCCACTACAAGATATTAAAAAATATAGTTCAAAATTTATATGTGAAACATACATCAGGAACAGATATGTGTACTTTGTGGTCATCAGTGTGTCTGGTGCTTATGCTGTCTACATCACTGCAACCTGATTAACAGGTTCTAGCTTTCAGAAAGTGAAGGAAGTAAATCTGTGGGATCAGCAATACAGCTCTGTAGGTAATGTATTCTTTTCCAAAATATTGTGTGCAGCAACAGGGCACAATGACACAGATCCTTTAAAAGGAGCAGGCATAATTATCCTTTTTTATTGAAGGAAAGATTTGGTCACAGATGCTTGAAGAAGTTCAAGGTATAAAGCAGATCTTTGCATGGCAATACCTACTGTACCACCATGTGGAAAATTTGCACTGCTCTGATGATTTTGATGACCATGAGACAAGCCATCCTGACATTTTACTGGCTTTGGTGGAATGTAGAAGTATATATCTGTCCATAGTGACTCAGAATCCTCCTGGGGAAATATTGGTTTGCTAAGCTTCATGTTGCTCTACTTCCATCATGGCACTCGTAGGATTAGGAGAGCAGGAATTCTGTTTAAGAGGGCAACTGATTCGAAAGTTGTGTTTGCATTCAGAGGGGAATTCTGATAAACTGAAATCTGTTTTCTTTCCCTGAGGAAAGTCTGAAATGTCATAATTTCCAATAACAAAACTGTATCCTAAAAATCTGAATCAAAATAACCAAAAGGTTTCATTTGACTGCTCAAATGGTATAATTCTGTGAGAACAATGAAACTACATAATTTGTGGTGTCCTAATATTATTTGTACCTATAACAGTCCTGGAGGATTAACTTTCCCTTTAAATTGACACAAACATTTATTTACATTATGCTGTACTTCTTAAAAAAGCCATAATGTCAGAAAATCAAGCTTTGATTTTGTACTAGTGACACTAGGACAAGTGGTACTACTGACCACTTTGTACAAGTGGCACTCATGCAGCTCAGAGAAAAGGAGCATATTTGTCCATCTTCTTTTCATGGATTACTGAATGATCTTCAAAATACTTATCAAACGATCACTTTCAGGATTAATATTTTGTTTGTGATACATCATCTTCCTCTTCATGCTCAACATTCCCAGATCACTCTACTTAACTATTGTCTAATCCACCTTTCCTGACAGATTAAAGGAACTGATCTACTGGGGGTTGTGCTTCCTCTGCCATGTGCACCTTTGTGTATGGTACAAGCTTCTGAACTTGTGACATTGGCAGTGCTGTGTAGAACATCCTATTGGCCTAACTGGATAGTGCCCATATACAATCTTGCATAAATACTAGTTTACTCATATTTCTATTTAATATAATTTGTTTTTTCCACTTGGCAGCCTTTTTAAAAAAAAAAAATTCTCATTTTTTCTGGGAAAAACAACACAAAATATAGAAAATGCACTGAACAAGACATACTAATTGCTGGCTGTGATTAATTAGCAATTATAAGTACACACACACACACACACACGCATAGTCTCAATTGCTAGTGAGTAATTTACTTGCATGAATTCAATAAAAGCAGACAGATTTCAAAATACCTTAATTATTATTTTAATTGACAGATGATCTTGTCTGTTGTCATTGTTTTCAAAAACATATATTTCTTAAACTGAGAAGGGACACAGTGGATCCTGTTATTTAGACTGATAAGGAACCAGAAGCCTAACCAAAAACCTGTAGCCAATACACAAAATATTTAGTCTTCATTGCTTACATTTTGCTTTCAGGATCCCAAATGCACTGCTCTGAGTTACCTGGCTGTAGCAAAAGAGAGGATATATTGCTAATGCTTTCAAGAATACTTTAGTTCTAATGACAGGAAGCCAGTCAGGCCCTATGACAATCCGGACCATTTGCGAAAATATAGCATGATGACTTTCTAAGGAATTAAGTCACAGAGGCTTAATGACATTAAGGTCCTGTATATCTTTGGTAGAAGCTAAGAAGTGAGCTTCTTATGCTACACTGGAAGACTCGCACTTCTGCCCAATGCAGTCTCATTGTGAGGCCACGTGCTTTTACTGCTCCCCTTTAAACTAAATCTGCCTGACTTATTTTTTGCCTCCAAATATCTTTCAAAAAGCTACTTCAGATCTTCTAGGCTGTGTCATTAAAAAATCTTGTGTATACTCTGTTAATTGTTGTAAGTTCTGCTGAAACGTGAGGGTCAGTTCTTACAAAACAGTATTTGAAGTTACCATACCACAACCTAAAATTGACCATAAGCTTAAAACCAGGGCATGTGAGTGAACTGTATAGTTTTGCCTTCAGTTAAACCATCAGCATGGATTCAGAAGAAGGTTTTAAAATAACACTATCTGAAAAAATAACAGTGTTATGAATCACCTCTTCTTACAAGGCCTTTAGAGGTTCTCTCTTTTCCTGTTTGTAAATCCTTAGTCTTTGCAAGAAAATTTTCTCAGACAGGAAAACATAACAATTGATTTACATGGACAAAAGCAGCTTTTCTCAGTTTTCAGTCCAGCTTCCTCTGAGATTCCATTGACCTCCAAAGTTCAGCTTCTTCCAAGACAGTTTTCTTTGGGATTAATATCATTCAGCATCAAATCATTGAGTGCTATAGCCATTACCAGTGCTATAACTGGGGCTGTATCAGCATTTCCACATAAACTCTTATTTTCAGAGATTTATAGCTTGGCTACAGAAATAAAGTTTTATACTGAAACTTGGCAAAAAAAGCTCGGTCTGGGAGTGATTTTACTTTTTATTTTGAGAAATCTGCACAACTCTGTGGGTGTTTTTAGACTAAAATTCTGAACAAGACCTTGACTTTCTATCTACATCCCATTGGTGCCTTGGAGAAATCCCAGCCTGACTTTCTAAGAGTGTAGATCCACTTTTGATAAGCTATGTAAAGGCAACATAAAAGGGTCTTTTAAAAATGGTTATTCCCTATGTTAAAGATTCCCAAATTGTATCTAGTCACTGCTTCCCTAGAAGACATTTTAATCACTTGAAAATTATATTTTTCTGAAGAATTCAGCTAGCCAGACTAATGTGAGACCAACAAAGTACTCTGCACTTTGAGAGTGGGTCACTTCAGAGGGGTCTGAATGTTTCTGTTAGCATCTTCATGGGGAGTAACTGAGGACCCTGCTGGCCTGTCAGCCACTGGAAATGCTGATTGTTTGGTGGATGAAAACCCTGTATAGAGGAGGCCCAAGAAACCCCAAGGTGAGGAGTTTGGGGAAACTCTGCCTCCCTGCCTCTTCAGGATACATGACAGTTTCCTGATAGCTTGGGCTGAGTGCCGGGAGGGACAGGTGAGGGAGAGGAGGCTGGCAACTTTCTCTCCAGCATCCAGAAATAAAATCTTCACCAAAATTAGAGATGCTTAGATCAAACCCAGCAGAAGTACTTACATGTTCTGCTTTGCACAAACCCATTCAGAAGTGGTTTGGAGGCACCATCTGGAGGAAAAGATGACAGAGACATGCCATGGAGTTTCCAGTTTCCTTTGTAGGTAATTCCTGTAAAGGGATAACTTGATCCTGAGTCATTACCACTAGAGATGGGTATATAAACATGACACAACATGCAAACATGTTCAAGGCTACAGGCTACAAATGTAATTGCTTCAAAGAAAAATGTACTCAGCTAAGATGATGACCCAGTGCAATACAATGGTTCCCATGACTACTCATTCATTCCACAACAGAAATTTGAACAAATCAGTGACAATACCCTGCCCCAACTCCTCTAGAATTGGTTACCAAAACTAAAAATGTCTCACTAGTCTTTCCTCACAAGTATAGGACAATTCCTAATACCTGTGTCCAGCAGCAGGACTACTATTTTTCACTTAGCCAATATAAATAACATCTTGTCTATCCCTTGCCATATTAAAGAAAAGACCAAGTCATCCCCTTGTTCTAGACATGTCAGTGATTACCACACTTGCTCCTGCAATCCAGACAGATCACCATTAAATTCATTCTGTTCTATTTTCAAGCAGAAATATATTGGTCCCCAACAACAGCAAGGCACATCCTCTGAAAATGTGTCACTGGTAACCATACACAATTGATGGTGCCACATCTGAGAAGGAAATACCAAACTTCATATTTCTTGAAGTGCTCCATTTGAATCTGATCCACAAATCTGTTCTGGGAACGGCTCATTATAACTAGACAAATTCAGTCCAAACTCTGAAACTTCTTTTGAGGGCATAATGGCAGGGGAACCTCACAGTCAGGATTAGGAGGAAGATAATGAGGTAGTTTTGCAGATGTCTAAAGAACTCTTTCCCAGTTTAGGGAATGGTATGGGATAAAGCTTGAAACTGATTGGAATTCTAAGAAGTAGATGGAGGGGGCTGGCATCATGAGCTAATCAGTGAAAGAAGTGATTTCTGATCCTGAATGAGAGATGATAGGTAGGATGAGGTGAAGCTGTGAATGGTTCTGAAAGTGAAGACAAGCTGCTTGTATCCGATAGAAGTGTTATATTTGACAGTCAAAGTGATGGGTAGGAAAGTGATTTCTGCAGTGCTTTTCTATATAGAATCACACTGGCAAAATTGCATTTGTCAAAAGCAGAGGAATGGATGCTGCAATAATCAACAGAGCTTGGTAATAATTTACATATATATTAATTCTTGCATAATAATAATCACTGCGTAAATTCTATAACTCACCTCCATAAAGAATTCTTTTTAACAATTTTTTGAAACTTACACTGAAGCATGTTGCATAGGAAAGTGGGCATTTTGTTGGATATTTTTAACAAGATTGTTTCATGTCAGCATTTTCACTACAACATTCTTGTAAAATTTCTAGTTTTATAAAAGGAAAAATTACATACTTAACTAAAAATCCTTTTTACATGCATCTTCTTTTTTGTTTGTTTTTGGCTAAAGCTTTTCATTTAAATACAGTACCTGAGGGCATTCAATACTCATATCCATGGCAATTACATAATGTCTTAGCTGGTGGTCTTGGTTTATTCCTCTCTGGGCTCTGGCAGCAGGAGAGACGTTGTCCATTATAACTTGGAGGCGACTCTGGAAAGTCAGTGTGCTGGATAACACAGACATCAAGTCACTAAACATACCACCTCCTAGACATACAGATTTAACAGCACTTCTCCACTTTGTTTGGAACAGTATTACATTATAGTGTTTCTGGCTGTAATACATAATAAATTCATTTTATTCCCTATTGTATCATATCCTTCATTTCCCCCATGCAGAGACTGACTGCTGCATACACATTCTTCCAGGACAAGGCTTTTCCTATTAATAGACAACTTGGCTTCACATGCTGAGATGAACGAACAAGGTTTCGGGTGCCTGCCTAATTTAAGCGGACCATATGTCATAAGCTATGGTATCCTGTTAGTAGAGAATAAAATAAAGCAAGATTGAGAGGAAAAATAGCTTCCTACCATTAGCTGACCTCTCAGACTCATATTTTCACAGATGTTTATTTAAGTGTTCTCAGAACTATTTACTTATTCTGTGCATCACATGAAGTTATGCATATTTCTAATGTACTCTTAATGGGGGTGCTGTCTCAGGAACAGAACTTCTGAACATTATTTTTTTTTTTTTTTTTTTTTTTTTTTTTTTTTAACTCCCTGGAACTGCCTTCGAACTGTGGCCAGCTTCACATTTTTCTGCTTTGGCTTTCCAACTTGTAAAAACTGGAGTACAGTTGTTTACTATTTATTTAGTGTCCCGTGATTGTAAGATACTGCAAACTTTTCTTTGCTAATATAAAATACACTAGTGGATGAATGTTATTTTTTTTAAAGCAAATTATATTAATTACTGTTATTGTTTAACCAGCTCATCTCTGCTGCACATTTGAAAAAAATGTGCTCTTTCAGACTCTTTGAGAGATTATATAATCATCATTTCGCACAAATATTTGACTCATTAGAGTTAGCAATCGTATTTCCCTGGCAAGTTGTCTAGTGCTGGGTGGAAAGAGAGTCAGGGAACTAGAAAATGTAAAAATCATCATTTCCATTTACTTCCTCCTACTTATCCAATGTGTTTCTACTGTATTTTTTCCTTCTTTGCTTTGTCTTTCTCTATATATCTCTTGAAAAGTAACATTGCCAGATCAGTTCATTCAGGTTAGGGAATGGGTAAGACCATGATCAGCTGGCAGACATACATGCTTGCACTTAGAATTTTAGGATGTGCCACTCTGTACTTCCAGCATAAGTCCAACTTCCATTCTCTTATGATCCAAATTGGCAGTCAGGTTTATGTTGGTGTGAAAAACAGAAAAGGAATAAATTTCATAGCTAGCATAACTTACAACTTCATTGTTTTCTTCTTATACTACTTGTGACCAAAAGCAGCAGAAGAAAAGATTCAGTGTCTGAAATGAAAGAGAAAAGTATTTGGAGAGAAAATCTTTGGAGAGAAAAATTTGTTGGGAATGAGGAGGAATTTTGTGTGCATGTTTTAACCAGTGATCATTTGTATTATCTGTAATACTTCAGTATTGCCTACAATTCAGATACTCAAAAAGCAGAAATTAATAAAATGTAACAGATAAAAGCCACACATGGGGGAAAAATGTCTTTACAATCAATTATTCACATTTGCAAATACTATAGTCACCCCTCACCTTTCTTTTCTACTTAATTTAGTTAGTAACTTAGGCTCAAAGGTCATGTCTAAAGTTAAAAGAGAACAGCAGCTATGGCAATAGGGAATAAGGTTGATTTAAATCAACAGCAAAAGTTACACAATACAAAGCTCTATGAGGTGAAACACTGTCATAGAGGAAACCATCCATAGCCCCAGTCTGATAAACCCTTTGGTGCTTTATGCCTGTAGGAGATATTCATGAGGACCAAACCCATATCTGTGTGGTATCTAAGAGGAATAAGAAAATTTGAAACATCACCTTTGGTTGCAAATTAGACAGATTTGTCAATGCTGCCATGTTTCATGGTAATATATCACCCTACTGCAATTATCTGTGAATTTCTGGTCATTTGGCTGTTTGGCAATCCACCAAAGAGGTAGATTTCACCCTATAGTTCAAGCAGAGTTAAGGGCCAAAAGACTGACTCTTTGCAGGCATATTAATCTGTGGCATGTATGTTGATCTGCATGTGTGCCGTGAATCCTGTGTATTTGGGCCACACCGTCTGTAGTTTTTGTAAAAAGGAAGCTAGGTATTTTAGTATTTCAGTTTTAAAATATCAAGAAAAAGACTTTGTGTTTTCTCTTTTACTTAGACTAGTGGAGATGTAATTTAGGGAGACGTTGGCACATGTCACTGACCACATTTTATAATTTTCCTTAGGAGTCTAGCAAACAACGGCCTGGAGTTGCACTGCTGAATTTGCTTCTGCTTGCTCAATGCAAAAGAAAAACTGAACAGTCAGGCTTTGACTAACTGTGTGTTCCCTTTGAAGAAAGAATTGTGATTGTTGGCAGAGGAAGGAAGGAGCTAGGACAAAACAAGGGAAGGAAGAAGTTGTTTTTTTCTTTCCACTAGCCAGCTTCTTAATTTTTGCTGCCAAGATTATAACTCTAATTTACAAGATAAACATAAATCTATTTTTATATTATTTTAATTTAATTTAAATTACAGAAAAATACATGTCTTTTTGGTTGAAATCTTTGAGTATTCAGAGAAGGGAAAATGAGGGAAATATGCATATGAGACAAAGGTAATTTTGGTATCACCAGAAAATAGCCTCAGTAGGAAAAAAAAAAGTTTCTGTTCATGTTTAACATATTTTTAACTCAGTACATATTTCTTTCCTTTTTAATGCTATCCCTTATTACAGAGATATGGTCAGAGATCTAAAAATACTTAGGTGTTTCAATCTCTAAATATTTAAATGTATCAAAAAAATGTATCCTTGAAAATCAAAAGTGAAGAAGGCCTCCCCATAGTCCTTCTTGAATAATTTATTTTGGATATAACTAGGGCCAACAGATGTCAAAATAAAATAATTATCCTAAGAAATCTGTTAAATATCCTAATTATTTAATGTAATGTCTCTTAAGACTCATAATGATAGTATAAATGTTAATGTTATGAGCTAAAGTGTGAGGGCCTTTTTTGCAGCAACACTTACTATCCCAGCTATTATGAACAAATTTTGAATATATCAATACTATTTTCTAATGCCCAGTTGAAAGATATGTATACTTCCTTAAATAATAAAAAAGTAATTAGACAGGGACACTCCACTACAAAACTTAACCACTTGATTGTAACCCATTAAAAAAATTAATTATTTATGCAACATTCCCAGAAGAAATGAAGAAGAAAAATGTTTGCAAACACGAAAAAAAAAAAATTGTTTGCATTACTTTTTTGTTGTCATATTATAGGTACAAATCTTGCCACAAAGAAAAGCAAGAATTCAGACTTTTGCATAAACAGCCTCTAAAGCAATGATGAAGTCCACTATGAGATTCCAAAAATCACTTTTAAACTGAAAATGGAAATCTATTTCTGCAAAATATGTTCTTCATACAGTAAGACTCCTAGAACAGGAACTTTATGATAAGGACACAGGGTGGGAGCAGAGTTTAAGAAATCTGTAGCAAATTTAATAGAGGTAGAAGATCAACAGTAAGGAGGCTATTACTTTCTATTGATGTAGTGTCTTACATCTATTGGAAGACTAATACCTTCTATGCATTATGTTAAAATTTGACCTTCCATTTTTTTACCACATCCTTACAATACTCATTCTAAAACAAATCTTTTCTCTTCCACTAAGGAACATAGGTGGAGAAATGGGCCCATGCCTAGAAATACAGTGTGAAAAATCTGTGAAAATAGAGAAAGTGAACTTCAGAAAATTAAACAGTGTTTCAAAGAAAATAAAAATCAAGCAGCCAGACTTTACCCTTAAAATTTTTGGAATTTTGTTAGATTTTGTCCAACAGAATCACATATTCAACCAGATTTTGGAGCAAGCTGTAGATTTGGTATGTAGGCTAAAAAATGTGTATGACCATAAATGTAGTTCAAAATCTTACTTAGTGTCACATAAATGTTAAGGTGTCCCATTCTCATAACCAAAGTGCAAGTAAGAAAGAAATCATGTTGATCATTAGAGTCTTCATTTCAGTTGCCAAATAGGCTCAGCTACAACTTCTTTGAATGATGACTGAGGGTGCTTGCCATTCCTCAGAAATTAGCCCCTAACCAGGACTAAAGAAACAAAGCTGCAAACATCCAAACAGGTTTTTATTCACTTTGAATAAATTTTCTGACAATCATCTTAATTTTAAGAACCTGGAAATTACTATGATCATCAACAAGTAAGATACTGTGATTTTACTTAGTTTGAGTTTCTACAAGGTGAAAAAATTGCAGGATCTCTCTTCCTAACGGATGATGAAAGACAATTGAAGTTTGTGTAGTGTTTTTGTTTTTTCTCAAGATGATAACTGAGTTTTACTCAGCTAGAAAAGCTGTGATGCTACTTCTGTGCGTGGTGCTAAGCATGATTCTGAAGCAATAATAAGTACTTCTAGGATGTTTCCTCCTAGATCCAGAAGACAGTAATCTCACAAAGCGAAAAGAGACTAATGTCAGTATCCATTTGGTTTATGGTCTGTCTGGGAAAAAGTCACCTAACTGTGGGATCTGAGATTTAACTATGGAGTATTTCATTTTTGGTGGGAAAGAAAGAGCCTTCCACTTCCCCAATAAATAAAGAACTTAACCTAACAATTCAGTTTCTCAAAATATTCAAGGGTGCCAAATTTTAATGAAAATATTAAATGTTCTTCTCTGATCCTTTTTGGGTACACATGTCATGTGAAGCCAGTATCTGGCATGCCTTGAAAACTATACAGCTCAACAGCCAAAGAAAATAGGAAAGGCAGCAATCTCTGAGAAACTTCCAGCTAGCTCCTTTTCAGCTGGTGGGACTTGGAATCCCATAGGATGTCATAAAAGCCAGGTAGTCTCTGGGGAAAGCAGTGTGCAGTGGAGAAAACGAGTTATGTTTTTTACATTTTCCTCAAAGGGAATTTACAACTTTTGTCATTACTTAGGATTC